TTTTCTTTTAAATTTTCTGTAGAGAACATAATAAGTCATGAAAATTTTGTTAACTCAAAACAACTTTTAATAAGCCGTCAAATAAGTATTTTTTTAAAAACCATAATAGCTAAAAGAAATGGAAATCGAAAAAAAAGACTTAAATAAAAAAAAAACTTTTTTTTTGTATTGTTATAATAAAAGAACCAAAATCTATATTCTAGTGCTAGTATGAATTAAAGATACATGTTATATTTTAACCAGTTAACAAGTTTTAACTTCATAGATTTATTTTAAATCATGTGAAGAAAAATTTTAAACACAAGGAGAAAAAAACTTTAATTGAGAAAATCTGATTAACTAATACAATGAAAAACAATACAATACAACAATACTTAACTAATAAAAAAATAACTTTATAATCAAAATACTAGGGCTAGCAAATGATTGCAGTAAATGGTGTGTCATTTTCAGTGAGAGGGTGTTTGTATTTTTGCAGTGACTTAAGCAGTTTCTTTTTTTTTTGGGGGNTTTTTTTGGAGGGGGGGGTATCATTCTAAACTTGGTGTTAAATTGCTCAGAATAAAACAGACTTGATGTATGAGTCATATACATACATATTCAAAAAAAATTAAAACTCTTTGCAAAACCTCTTAGTCATACATAAAAAAATATAATTTAACAAATCTGTAATTTAAAATACATACAGTAGGGAACCGATTATCCGGAACTATCGGGACCATCGCTATTCCGGATAACTGATTTTTCCGGTTTTCTGAATCGCTACAAAAAGCCGTTTTTTTTTATAGTTAAACCCAACTAAAAAAATTTTTTTTGGAAATAATCTTAAAAAGAAGGAAAAAGGATGAAGTAATACACTAATGATTATTTCCAAAATGATGGTAAGGTAAAAATCTTTCAAAAAAGAAAGAAAAATCCTAAAATCTTATGAGGAAAAAAAATTTTTTTTTTAAATGGCGGGTAAATTCATCGAATTTTGCTCCGGTTTTTTGGTTTTCCGGTTTTCTGATTTCCGGATAACGGGTTCTGTACTGTATTTTAAAATTAATATTTACTTAGTAATACATAAATATTTTCCAAGGATTTAGCAAAAATTTTAAGAGAGCGTAAATCAGAATGGGAGTTTAACATGTCAACTACTAACTTCACAGTTCTGTTTATATCTTTGATAAATTTGACCTTTATCTGATAAATTAAATCTTGAGCGAGCTTGGGCATGAGAAATCCTATCAATCTTGGGTCTTTATAATTGAGGATCTTTATAATATCTCCAATCCAGGGTTGGCAAGGTTTAGGACAGAATGGATTAATCCACTGTTTAAACCCTGGTTTAAACCGTCCAGTCCAAAACCCCTTTGTCCAAAACCCTTTTACTCAAATCATGACACAATTTTATCTGAACAATCTTTAAGAGGTAAAATAAACATAGAACTAATAGCATATTGATAATTAAATATACTAGAGAATATTTGTTTTTAAAATTATAATGTTTTATTAATATTGTTTGACTCTTTAATTTAAACAAAGGAAGATTAATCAGTAATCAAGTTCAATTGGTCCTCTCATTCAATAGTACGTAACTGAAGTTTGGCGTTGCAATACAGGGTAAAATATAGGGACTAAGTGCTTGGTTCGTCATAAACAGGTTTATTTATCTATAGTACTATTCAAGAATACTTTTATTTCATTCATGTTTAATTCTTTTAGCATAGTGGTGATACATCACCAGTGTCAGTAACTGAAACTGATGTTATGCCCTTCAAAACTGTTAATAAATTTTTCAGTTATTTTGTATTTTCAATTTAAACTAATATATTTATATTTAAAAAATTTTTTTTTGAAATAGATGTCTTTTTTATCATTCTGTGATGCAGAAATTATAACATTTTTTTAAAAAAATATTGTGAATAATAAAAGGTTAATTTTTGAACAAATTTAGTATTTTTTTTAAGAATAATTATTATTTTTTAATATTGCCATATTTATCCTTATGCAAAAATATTATCAGTATTAAAATCATACTTATATTTAAAGGATTAGGTATTCACTTTTGTTGTTCAATGAATTGTGGAGCTTCAAAAATTATAAACCTTTTCCTATTATATTATATTATTTTCTTTTAATAAGTTATAGTAAATTGTATAAAAAATATCAAATATTTATTGATACATGTAATTATTATGTGTGTAATGGTTACAACTATAGAATTTTCACCTTTTACCAAAGTTCAAGGTTTTGGACACTTAAAGACAGTTTAGGACGGTTTTACCCAGTTTAGGACAGTTTTACCTAGTTTAAGACAGTAAAACCCACGTGTCCTGTCCAAAACCAGTTTAGGATGTCCAAAACCCCAACCCTTCTCCAATCCATATATTCAACACTTAAATGTCTACGATTGACCAAAATAATTTTTCCTTATAATTATATGCTTATTAATTTTCTTAAATGGGCTGTATATTGATGAGTATACCTTCTGGTTCAATCATCTAAATCAAAGAATGACCTTACTATTAGTATGATGAATTAGATGAAAAGTTACAATTAGCCTTAAGCAAAATTTAAAACAGATCAATTGTACATTAATTGTATAAAAATTAATAAGTAAAATACAAAAGTTTGCTTAGTATTTAAAACAAGCTTAAAATGACAATAACCGAAGATGAGGTCCCTTAATCATAAATCATAAAAAAAGAAAAAATGGACAATTATGAAACATAAAATTTACATTTCATTCAGCTAATTATCGAATTAAAATTAATTTTGTGTAGGTCAAACAAATTAAAATATTTGTCTATTTCTATTAAGAAACATCAATTTTTGTTTTTAAAATTGAAACTGTTTCTGTTTGTTCAGGTATTTAAAAAATGAATAAAAAAAATAGCTTAATAAATGAAATTGCTTAAAACATAGTCAATATCAAGCCAAATGTGCAAACCCTAAATAAACTATCACATGCCAAAAACTTTCCTTAGAGAAAAAGCAACAACAATAATGAATATAAATAATTATTAGAAAATGTCAGAAAATGAAGATAATTAATGGAAATTACCTTTATTATAAACCATCTTTAGAACTTTCTCAATCAAAACTATCTTTCTATTGAAGTAGCCAAAATCAAATATGAGGTATTTGTATTAGAAGTCTTAGAGACTATATTATTTCCCTGAACATAATATAAGGCTTTAATATAAATGAGTATACATAAAAAAAATTTTAAAAAAATGATAATTAATAAGAAAGACATAATATAACTTTAAAACCGAATGAAAATTAATACAGATTTATAATAGTTGCGCACATAATTAGTATCTTGGGTAAAAGCATATTAACTTTAACTTGAATGGAAAAAAAATTAGTAGTTAATTTCAGGGTTAGAAATTAGAATGTGACAATCAAGCGTCAAAGCGCCTAAATGTTTTTTTTAAGTTGCCAAAAGGGCTTAGTTTGATATAATTTTTAAATTGGGACCATATTACTCAGATTGCGGCTACCTTCTATATTTTAGGGGTCAGAAGTTTGAATCTGTCAAAAAAAGGTATGTTTATTCAGAAAAGTACATTTTTCGGTATAATTTAGTAACTTAAAATATTGTCTGCACTCATCAATTGGCATTTTTAAGGTTACCCTCTCGAGTTATCAAGATTGAGTCCTAGATCTGATCTTTAGACCAAAAGTTATTCAGGGTGATCAGGTTTCTTTTTTGGGCACGCAGTACATATATTTATTTATATATATACATATAAATCTATATGTGGGAGTTGTTATTGACCATCATCCTTGAACAACCACCTACTTTGTTGCTTATATCAACTGAATGGATGGCTAAAACCCCTTGAACTTGCTCGTGAATGCAACATTTATTTTACCGTTAAAATTAAGCAATTTAATAACAAGCAGCATTCATATAATTCAAATTCATATATACTATCATATAAAAATGTTAAACCAGCAGAAAATCATAATTGCTATATATATATGTGGATCTAATTCTCTTTCTGCGCGTAACTGTAATATACTTTTAAAATGGGAATTAAAAATCAAGTTGCAAGTAAAAATACTCTTTTAGAAAACAAATATGTAAAGGAATTGGAATACATAGATTTGAATATTGATGGTCGTAAAATTAAATGCCTAATAGATAACAGATCAAAGATATGTTGCATAAAAGATTGCTTCCTAAATTCTAAAAATAAACTACCTTTAGATACTGTTCAATTTACCAATTGGTTTGGTAAAAAAACTAATGCAAAATTGTATCAACTTCCAGTCTCTCTCTAAATGAATCACGTTTTGAACCTCATTTCCACTTGAAATTCGAAACCATTGCTGCAATCGTGACTCGTAACATGATGCAAAGAATATCAATGTTCTCCAACTTGAAATATAAAACTAAAATCTAATTTCGATCATTTACTTGATAAATAAAAGGAAAAGAAATGCATAATTAAATATGATAAACCTACTCTCTCAATACATTTATTACATCAAAAATTAAATTAAAAGTTGAATAAATAATATTTAATTTTAACTTTAGTTACATAATGGCGAAAAGTTGCTAATTTTTGGGAAAAATTAATTATACTTTCATTTGCAGCATCAACCATCATTTGAATAACTATTATGTTCTTCCGCTTTTAGAAAAACCTAGTTTTGATCTTTTATCATCGTCTCCTAACAAAGAAAGGATACAATTTTCTTCTCCAATTAAACTGTTTTCAAACTTAATCAGCTTAGATAACTTTTCTATTAAATTTCATCATTTTTAATTAGCAGGGGTAATTGTGAGAGCAACTCAAAAATTCGGAAAATTTCTTGAGTAAAATGCATTTTAAATGCACGCATTTCAAAAAATTAATGTCTTTATAAATTTAAATCATTGATATTTTCCCAACATGAAATTCCAAATAAATTATATGCAACATAATTTAAATTAATAATTATGTATAAGTTTACTCTTATCTCTAATTTAATTTAGTTTGTTATTCTGCCAGAAAAAAAAATATTTACAAATGAAAGAGATACCAAGTATAAATTCTAGTTCTAATATTTTTAAATAAAATATACAAGAATTTTAATGCATAAATGTGATCGATGATTTCTTGAAACTTCTGGACCTTAGATGTCGAGATCGCGGTTATCGAAAAATCCAGATTTCTTCCGGAGCACAATCTTCTTTGAAATATTGTGAATACAAATCGTGATGTGTGAATTTTAAATCGTGTGAATATAGATTGAGGTTTATGATTTTTTTTAAATAAAGTGAAAACTAAACGAGATGTGAGATTTTTAAATGGCATGAATATAATTCTCAAAGTGTTATTTTTAAATTAACAAAAGACAAATCACAATGTATGATTTTTAAAATATGTGAATATGAATTGCAATGTGACTTAACTATAGAAGACCAAAAGTTAACTCGCAATAACAGTTATATTAAAAGTTATGCATAAAAAATGATGATTGTGTTTAATGTTCTAGGTGTCCAACTTAAATTCTTATAAACAAATTATGACTAACGAAAGCTCATTTAAAAGCCTGGTTAATTTGATATTTAATATAACAGATTTTGAAAAAATATTAGATACCATGAGAGAACAGCAAAATATAGAAAATATGACAATTTACTAAGTCTAGAAAAGCCAATAACATTATCTAGATGCAGCTGTTTCAATTATAAGGGTTAAAAATAAAATTTTGAGTTAAATGCACCTCCTATAAAAAGGGGACTTTAAATCGATCTATTTTCATATAAAATAAACTCCATTAAGAATATTTTACATTTCAGGAGTTAATTATTAAAATAAAATTCTTCTGTATTTATATTTAAATATAACTATTTTTTCCTAACACATTTAACACAATCCTTTTACATCTTCAGGTGGATAGCTTTCGTTGCATTTATGTCTTTTAAGTATGTATTTGCTTGCAAAACTGTTGTTGCAAACTTCACAAACATGAGGTTTCTTTTCTTTATGATCAGAAAGATGACACTCAAACTCACACCTACGAGAAAAACTTTTTATGCACAATTTGCAATTATAAGCCTTTGTACTTTCAACTTTAAGATGGCGAGTAAGGTCCCCTTTTTGTGTAAAAGTTTTCTTACACAAGTCACATGAATAAGGTCTGAGACCAGTATGTATAAGGGAATGTCTTTCAAGGTCAACTATTCGACTGAAACCTTTAGTGCACACTTCACACACATAAGGTTGTTCTCCTGTATGAATTAAAACATGATCAGAAAGAGTAGCTTTTCTAGAAAAACCTTTGTTACAAACCTCACACACAAAAGGTTTTTCTTGTGTATGAACTTTCATGTGTTGAGCAAGACAAGCTTTTTTACCAAACCTCTTAGGACACATTTCACACAAATAGGGTTTCTCTTGTGTATGAACCAAGCAGTGTTGCTTAAGACACCATCTTCTACTGAATTTTCTCCCACAAATTTCACAAACGTAAGGCTTCTCCCCCGTATGAGTAAATAGGTGCTCTGTAAGATCAAACTTACGAAGAAACCCTTTATGACAGACTTCACACATATGAGGTTTCTCCCCAGCATGCATCATGACATGTCGACGCAGATCGCTTTTACGATAAAAGTTTTTTTCACACATATTACAAGCATGGGGTCTGAATTTAGAATGCAAATAAGAATGTCTTTTTAATTCATTATTTTGACTAAAAGCTTTATTACAGACTTTACAAACATGTGGCTTTTCACCTGTATGACGGATGATATGTTGACGTAAATTGCCTCGATTGCTGAATAACTTTCCGCATAATTCACATATATGAGGTTTCTGTCCTGTATGCGATTGTACATGTTGTTCAAATTCAGTTTTTGTACTATAACACTTACTGCACATTGAACAAGCAAATGGTATTTTGCTACTATTGACTTTAACAGGTGCATTAATTATCTTCTTTTCTAAACTTTTCCGTTGTTCTTCCAATTCTGTATTAGGCATTGTAATTGTATTTTGTACATTGAGTGCAGGACTTATTTCTTCACTATCAACTAACATATCTAATTTTTTAAGCACATCATCAAATGCTTTTGATTTTTTTTCTCCTATATGTAATTTTACATGTTTTTCAAGTGCCGATTTTGATTTAAAACATTTACTGCACATTGAACATGCAAACGGTACTTTATTAGATTGAACTCGCACAGTATCATTGTTTCTCACTTTTTCATCTGTACTAGGTAGTCGTATTACCTTTGAAGATTTGGAAGGGGTATTGATATTTTCATTTTCCATAATGAAATCAAACTTGACAAGGACATCACCAAAAGACATCTGTTCGTTATCTTCAGAAATTTCTTCATTATAAGAAAGATCTTGTTCATCAATAACAGAGTAAGTAAATTCTAATTTGTCATCATTAATTTCTGAAGATACATCAACTTGTTTATCTTCAACTGCATCCTGCTTATCTAGCATTTTTCTTGTGTTGAGTAACTAATATTTATATATCAGTAAAGAATGAGATAGGAACTATATTAAGGTTACATAGCATTGTCAGGCACTTATTAATCTAAATTCAAAACTTTAATGGATCTGAGACAAAAGAAGTCGATATATAGCTACATGTAGGATGATTCAAGCATTACAGCAAAATGCTCACAGTAAAAACAAAGGTTATTCAAGATCGTTAGAAGTAGTATTGGTCCGAGTTCATAAATAAAACTAAATTATAAGGTGAGCGAAAGCAGTTATTGTCGCAAACTGAAATCACACGTAAAGGAACAGATAGTTCATAGAAGCTGAACTATTCATTGACAGACTTTTTAAATTATTATAAGAAACATAAAATAATATGCTTGACAGTCTAAAATAAAAACAAAGAAGTTTTTAGTCTTCGTAATTAATCTAGATGTGGATTAATAAAATTTTTTAATACAATAAGCTTTCGGCTGCCTATTTCTATCTCTTAATTGCTCTTTTAAATGCAACGAAACCGTAAAACATACTTATTTCTGCTTAACTTAAAACTCTCTTTTAAACTTAACTAGAATTTGTAGACAAATATAGATGGCTGCACTAAATGCAATGAAATTTAATTAATTTTACTTGCCATTTTTTTTGCATTATATTAATTATTACATGATTTTTTGTTGTTGTTGTTGTTACTTCACGTCGCACTAGAGCTGCACAATGGGCTATTGGGGACGGTCTGGGAAACATCCCGGAGGATGATCCGAAGACATGCCATCACAATTTTGATCCTCTGCGGAAGGGATGGCACCCCCGCTTCGGTAGCCCGACGACCTGCACACGAAGTCGAGCATTTTACGGTAGCACAGTTTAACGAGGACCAATACCGCACACCCTCGGTCCCTACGCAGACTGATCCAAGTGGTCACCCACCCGCACACTGACCGTAGCCAGTGATGCTTGACTTCGATGATCTGCTGGGAACCGTGTCTTAACGATCAGTCCACTGCGGGACGTTACATGATTTTTAAGAAATGTCACTGGTACTGCCAGAAAGTTTTAAGGCAGAGCCAAAAAATCTAGATTTGAAAAAGGGACAACTGTTTCCAGATTATAATTTCTTCTTGCATTGACATTTTATAATTTAATGTTAAAAATAAAATTATTTAAATAAAATTTTTCACCAAATTTTTTTTTTTTTTTTATCAAGAAACATTTAAAAGGGGAAAAAATCTGGTGCCAAAGTAAAACATGAAATTAGAGTATAAAATTTTCCCGAATATCCGCAGAACTTACAAAATACATTATAGACTTAAAAAAAAATGAAAAATAAAACACATAATAAACAAAAATTAGGTTAAACGATTAATCAGATACTTCTGTACTTCTTAGTTTGAATTGTGAATGTATTCCAAACAACTTTCTTTGCAAAATAGAGCATTACAACATTATATTTTTCAACGAAATTGATTTCGGCATATTTTTGCTCTCATGAATGTTTAAATTGGGCGTAACATCGAATTGAAGTTAAAGAACACTTATGACGACTCATCTTAAGCAGCCAAATGACCATGGTCCCCATATGAAGCTCCCAACTGCTAATCCCATCGTATGTAAATAAAAAGGTTAATTTTTTCCTATAAATTTTTTCTTTTTATCACAGAACTAGCTGTACCCTGCGTGCGTTGCAACGCTTTCAATTTGAATTTGAATTTTGTATTTAAGTGTGTAAATGACCTTTGCGATTATGATTTGAAATGCAAATTTTATTTAATGGTGAANTATAAATTTTTTCTTTTTATCACAGAATTAAAAAAACTTTTTTTACCTCCATTTTTACAATAAGGTTATTTCAATAAAATGTTTTAAATTATCGTTCTCAATATTCCTTTTTATACAGAAAGCATTGAGGCACTTTAAAAATCTTCCGAAGATTTCTTGTGTTCTGTGCATATACATGAAGGTCTATATGAAGGCCTTGATATTAACCTATACCTTTCAAACTTGGCCCATTAATTATTTCATTGTAAGTAAACACGAAGCCAAGCCTCAAAATTATAGACGAATTAGTTCGGACATAAGCGGGCCTGACTGTAAAGTCAATATTTCCTTTACAGTAGAAGAACATAGCCCATGCTCCAAATATAAATAATATCTTCCCTTTAATCTATAATTTTTAAACTTGGTCATATACATTGTCATAACTATTAAACTACCACATTAAGCAGCAAAATTATATACGAATCAGTGACTAAAGAATGAGGTTTAACAGAGGGCTTAATTGTATTGTCAATCGCTTTTTATTTTTTATTGTTTTCTGCATATACATGAAGGCATAGTTTGTTTTAAATTAGCCTATTATTATCAAATTTTACACCATTTATTATTTCAATATGAGTAAACACGAAACCAAGCAGCTAATTTATAGACGAATCAGTCCGGGAACTATTTTTTTTGCCCGTTGCATACATATAACGACCTATATTTTGCTTTTATATTCTCCTATATTTTTCAACTTCTGTCCCATTTATTACTTAAATATAAGTAAACATGAACCAAAGCACTAATTCATAGACGAATTAATTCGGGTTTAAGGAGACCATATTGTAATATCAGTCTTTCTTTTCCCTCTGCATACACGTAAAGGCTTATATTTTGCTTTTATATTAAGCAATATTTTTCAACTTTTGTCCCATTTATTATTTAAATATAAGTAAACACAAGGACAAATAGATAAATTATAAATGAATTAGTTCGGGCGTAAGGGGTGCCTAATTGTAATGTCAATATTCCCTTTATAAAAACAAGAGTAGGGGAGAGTGGGGTCAATTGTAACATTTTTTACTTAACTATTTTTAACTAACAAAAAATCCAATATATTATTAGTATTAATTGACAGACGAGTAAAGTAGACTATCCTCTACTAGAAAAAAAAAATACCTTATTTTAAATGTTATTATATTAGTTATTAACAATTTTTGACAGTCGAGCACTTGTTACAATTGTCCCCACTTACGGGGTCAATTGTAACAGTTCATAAATTCAACTAAAACATAGTTAATTATACATA